TTTTATACCAGTAATTAGGAAAATAAAATTTAAGAAAATTGCATTGGACATTGAATATTTCTAATCATCTTTCTTAATAGATAATAATACTTCGTTATTCAGACTTTCTATCAGCAATTAATTCTTATTGAAAAAATATTTTTTGTCGCAAGACAAAACATTACATATCGTATTATATATGATTTTTCATTATCAGAGTTGATTATCTATATGAGATAGTTTCAGCTTCTCTGAAACTTGAGCAAAAATATTAGATATTTCATTGAAAAAGATTTCCAATCTATACTAACATGGTATGTGTGCTTTTTAATAATTAGAGAAAACTTCTCTGATTGTAGATAATCTTTGACAATAATATGTTTCTGATAGATTAAGTTGTGTAATTAAAACTAGTGATTTCGTTTCATTCGTCATCGTGAATAAAATTTCAGCTAAAATCTAACAGATTTTAAAATAAAACATGAAATATGACTGCTTAATTTTCTCTAATAGTTCAGTTTCAAAAAGAATGGAAAGAAGTTGTTAAAATTCAAATTACTTTTCATGATTATGTTGAAGATGAAAGATAGTAGAAAAGTTTATCATGTTTCTGCTAAAACAAAACGAACATGTACAATTATAGAAATTAGCTAGAAGAATGACTGAAATTGTTCGTTTTAAGTGTATCAATTAGATGTTAGATCCTATTGTTCGTAATTTTACACGCCAAAAGACTCATTACGATAAGTAGATACTAACAAAAGTTGCAGTTGGAAATCGAATGAGAAGATTTTTTTTCAGATGTTCTAGCTTTCAATCAACTTATTGAATTATATACTTATTGAATGTACATACATCGAGTACATTGTTAACGGTCGAAATAAATTAAATATATATGAAATATCATATTCGAATTTTTTCAGATTTCAAAGTCATTCTGAAATCGTAGGAGAAAAAATTCGTAGAACAGACTTTGTCAATATATTACGTGTGAGGTACAGCAACAAATTTTGCACTAGAAAAAAAAACTATAGTTTTATCGTTCTTTGATTTCTATATTATAAAGCAAAACAAAAATAAACTGATGATATAAATTAATCAGTATGAAAACAATAAAATAATTACATCCAGTCGATATTCAAGTTAATATAGAACAAATGCATTCAAAATTTCTATACCTTTTAAGTGTAAGTAAAGAGAGAAATGGCATCCACATCTAACAAGCTAAAATGAAAAAAATTCAGTTGAATTCAGATCTATAATCGAAATTGACTACACCTTAATCTGTGATAATATAACCATTAGCTATCTATTTCGTTCGAAAAAAAAGTTTATTAATATAGCGCTCTACGAAGATATAAAGTGATAAGTTTCATCTTTTCTCTTCGTTTGAATTATTACTTAACACAATGGAAAGATTTCATGATTCATAAAAATAAATATTGAACTATAGAGATAGGAATCTAATTCTTTATCTACAGTAAACGTACTGAAAAAGTGCAAAACAGCAATAAAAAAATGTTATTGTTTATGATAAAATGTTTTTTAACAAAAAATTTTTAATAGAAAGTAACTATTCACTTTATAGCTACTCTCCTTCACTAGGACGTGATATATACTTCACCTTCTCTCCTGACGGACATACTTCACAAACAGCGAAAGATTTGTCCTTTCTCTTTTAACTTACAATTTTGAAACGACTTGATAACGAACTATCATTTAACAGTAGGTAACAGATTTACTTATTCTAATATATCGAACTATCGATCCTCTCTTTCTAGTATCTAATTAAATGATTCAAATAATGAAGAAAAAGTATGTTACATGTAATGCGTTGTATAGATATGATATTTCTATATATGTAATATGACAAGATAGGGTGTTTGATCTATTTTATTGATTAATAAAGAAAATCAATCATGTTTAGAATAAAGAATATCATTTGACTAACAAAATTATGATTTACGATTAAATTCTCAGATAAAATTCGAACTATCACTATTATACTTTGTCATCATTTTCATTTATATTAGCAGTATTCTGTTAATAGTTATTTGTGTGAGAAAATTTTCTGAAGTTGACTAAATAATTTCTTATCAATAAATATTTCGTTTTAGAACAAACGATCTTGCTGTAATTTTAAGAAAATATAGATGAGGACATAGAAATCCGAATGTCAAATTCTTTCAGAATTACTTCTATATCTCGAATCTACAAACTGGATCTCTGTGTTTCCCAAATTTTTGCACAAATTTAATGATACAGATTTTGAAATGATGTGATGTGAATGTAAATAAAGACAAAACTTTCAATCATCCACATTTATACTCATACATTTCATATAAAACAGGAATCAACAGGAAAAAATGGCTAGTAGCCACGATGTATAAAAAGTTAAATTATATATAACTGTGTTGGATGATCATTGATATGATGAGATTTTTCTAACTTCATCTCTACCTAGAAAATACTTTCATTTATTAAACTATCTTATATTGTGTCACAGTTAAAGAAATAATTCAAAGAATATCAACAAGTTTAAAGAAGAAAACCAAAAAATTAAAGAACACAATAATAATAATATCAATCTGGAGATAAAAAAAAAGTTTCATAATCTAAATAATGTTAGAGAATGAATATAAATAATATAATTAAAACAAGTACAGTAAATAGTTATATAGTATAAAAGATTCACTATTGTAACTGTTATATGTGCTTGATAATAACTAATCACTTCATTTATTTTTTTTGTTCAAATTATTATCAAATTCAAACGAGACATAAGAAAAAGTTAAATTATGTTCATAAGAGATCAATTCAAAATCAATTTAAATGATTTAATTTTGTCTCAGAAGAAAACATGAATATGATTCTATTTATTGAATGATGAGAGTCTTTTATTACGTAAAATAAGTTTTCTAATTATTTTCATAATAAAACATCATCGATTGAACAAAATTTCTATTCAAACAATTTAATTCATTTCCTCCATCAAACAGATAGAAGCTCCGGTAATGTTTTCTATGGATTTCATTGAATGAAATTTCTGCTGATTTTTCTTTTTTCTAACACACATTCGTAAGTCAAAAATAATTCATATAAGAACTCTTATAGTAGATCTGAATGTGTAAAGACAAGATCTACGCAGATACACACACTCTATATATCTACTATCTCATAGACACCAATCGACACCTAAATCATTGATACATTTTTATCAATCGAGTACATTTTCCCTCCCAAATGATACAAGTTGCAACTTTCTATTTCTTTCTGTTTTTAATATGTAACATAAATGATTTTGATCACTATTATGTTGTACAGATAGTTCATATTTTTATTGAAATGAACTGAACAACTTTCGCATACCTTCATATTTGTGAATGAAAAATATATGTTATCCGTTATGAGAAATATATAATAAGTAAATATACTATTGGCACTTTTTTTTGATTGATAGAGAACAGTTGTATACATTCAAAAACCAGCAATATACCTCTCTAGTCAATAGTATATTATAAAAATAATATGGTTTAGAAACAATAATTTGCTATTAAAACGATTAATTTATAACTATAAGTAGGAGATCGATAGTTGATCAATGATATACGCAGCAGAAGAACAATTTTAAATCTTTCAGAATCTTATGAAGTATTAATCTTAATAGATTAGTATTTCGATTTATGATAACTCCTATGATATTCATTTCATATGTGACAAGAAAAGTGTTTATCATATTCATACATACAAATGCGAGCGAAAATATTTCTACTAGAAATTAAAAATTTAAAAACAATCCGGTAAGGTAAAAAATCTTTCTATGGCATTGATTAGAAACGTAATAATTTGATTCAATTGATATGTAATAAATCATTCGAATGTGATGTCATTTATAATGATTGGCTTCCATTTCAGATGTGGATACGGGTGTCAGTATAGAGAAAGTCAACATTCACACTCTAAGTTGACTGTTGTGTTCAATAATATGAATTAGCTGTCCAATGTATAATGATGAAATGGTCATTACATCTGATAAAGATATTGATTGTTGATGAAGGTCATTCATATTTTAATAGATATCATCAACAAGTGGCATATTGTCATCGATAGTATCGGTTCGATGTTCATTAAAACCATTGTTTCTTAATAAACTAAATATCAGAAAATAAAAAGAGTAACGTCTGATCACCACATATGCAGCAAGGCAAGTGAATATGTAACCGATATGTACTATGTTACACAATAAGTCTTTGTAAAAGACTAGTTAGAAGAAACTGTTCTAAATTTTAAATTTATAATAATCTTAGAGAATATTATTGATTAATTAAATAAATTCAAAAAAAAATTTCTACAAGATCTTCTCAAGCATTATCACTGGATGATGCAAATTAATTACAAAATAATTCAAAATTTTTATATTATATATGCATATTTATAGAAGTATATATATAAATATAATAAGTTTATAAATATCTACCTGGGTCTCGATATGGGCGCCACGAAATTCTGGTAGACCTTAGTAGACTCTGATAGACTCTGGTAGATCCTGGTAGATATTAATAAACTTATTATAATTATATATATAATATCTTAGATTAGAGAATATTGTTTGGAGATGTGAGAGCTTGGCTCGAGATCATGTGGTCAGGCAGGAGGAGCTCGTGAGATTACCACTTATGATCATAAGAGAGAAGAAAGAGGTTCAAAACACTGAGTGCAGGATTTCTAAACCATTTCCATATGAAATACTATTGCTAGATGTCGTCCATTACCAACATCTTATTCCAATAAACTACCTAGAATTTATTTAAATTAAATACCAATAAAAAATAAATTTTTCATTTATTTATCTAGTCAGATATTTACAATAAACCATATATAATTGGATAACAACTTCCAATTCAATGAATCCTCATTACACAATGAAGAAATAATTTTGTTTCTTTTATAGAAATCTTCAGTATAAAATCTATATAAATTATATTTTACAAGTTTTCTTCTTCTTCATCAGGAGCTTTCATATGATTGGTCACAGAACGAAAAAACCGTATACATACATATATATATGTACGTCGTATACGTTCGTTCATTATGTATATATATATATGTCAGTCATATCTATATTATATTTTACATTCAGAAACTTTTTTCTTACGTAAATTAAATCAACTTTTCCTATCATATTAAAGTTCAACCAGGGGGGGGGGTGAGGCTCCCGGGAGTACGGTGGAAGTACGAACTTCATAAGTCTTGCTTTTCTCCCTTGCTTCACAGGAGCTTCTAGTTCCTTCTATTTATTTGTAGATTTTTGGTTAGTTTAATTTGAACTATCCTTTTTATCTATCGTATTCTATGGCGACAAATTCTAAAACAGATGAAAATTTATCATTAACAACAATAATTGATAAACATCTACATTCAAAATAGTTTATAATCCATCATTGAATTCATTAATTTATCTTAATGATAAACAAGAAATCAATGTTCGTAGTGCTGATCAATTATCAATATTATATCATCGTACATTACCATTAAATAATATAAATGAATATTATGAAATAATACAATGTCATGATAAATTTATTTTGTTAATATCAACACATATTTATGTAAGACAATTATATCAAGGTATTTATTTTCTTGATTCAATAAATGATGAAGATCGTCGTGTTTTTAATGAATTAACATAGGGTGATGCATAATTATTATGAAGATTAGATTTAGCAACATCAAATCATATTGAAGAATTTCCTGATTTATTAAAAAAGAAATTTCATCAGCATATATCATCATCATTATGAAATTTATTACAATTTTCATATGATTGTCTTAATGCAATTAAAATATGTTTTGATATATTACGTTTATATAAACAACAAATGCAAAATACACATTCATCGTTACCTGGTCTTGTTGTTGTTGGTCTTTTACTTGATTATTTAACAAAATATTATCATCATTAACAACAACATCGACGATTAGTTTTTTTGAATACAGATAGATGAACTACACGTGAACGCTTCATGTTTAGTGAAGCAACACGATATAGAACATTTACAATTTGATTGCATGCAGCTTATCGATGGTTTTCATCAGTATGTTAAATTTTATTTGAGATTTTGTATAAAAATCAAGGAAAATTTTTGACAATTTTACATGTGAAAGAGAAATCAATATTTAATTCTGAAATTACAATATTGTTTACGAACTTCTATTACGAATCTATGATTATTGCTCGCATGAAATTATGCCTTCAAAGAGAGTTTCTTAGAATTTTTAGCAATTGAAAGGAGATGTAAACATTGTCGAAGTCACCTTTGTTATGTCGGTAAGAAGCATGATTTCCTATTTATCGATCAATAACTGATAGTTTTCTAAGAATGAAATCGTATATGAATCAATCGACTGAGATTTTCAAGTCATGATTGAATCATGAAGGGCATGAGCCTTGTTTCAAGTCAAGACTATTTTGGTGTTCAGTTTTCAAGGTTAGCAATAGAGATGTTAGTATAAAGTTTGAGATACATATTTTTATATGACTAACAGTAGTGTTTCATTTTCAATCCTGTCCACGACTAAGTTTTGGAAAGTTTATGTTTCCGATCGTTATTCTGAACCGATCAATTTATTTAAACTACTAATCTATGCAAACAGATTCAGAAAGATGACTATTTGAATTTTTTTTGTGTTTTTTTCGATTCTCAAAGAAAATAGAACTGTAAGATTGTTACTATGAATCTCAAGAAAAGTTTTCACATTCACATTTATATAAGTTTCATTGTAATTCAACAAAATTCATTACTAAACATATAATATTAGAAAAAAACTTTTTAGGAACAAATATTTTCAATTTTACAAAAGAAAACAGAACTTTATATCGATGTAGAACTGTTTGAGCTCGATCTGTCATCTATGTGCCGAAACAGTCATAAAAAAAATTTAATTAAAAGTAACACATAAGATTATTTCTTTCGAAGCAAAAATTCAGACTAAATCTGAGCTACTGAAACACATTTTATGCCTATTTATATCTAATCAGCATTTAAGTTTGAGCAAGAGTTGACCATACTTCAATAATTATAAATGTATTTGTAAGTTTTGTGTATTCATTCTAGAAATCTGAAAGAAAAAACCCCATATTAATTCCTACTATTGAACATAAATAATTTGCTTGATTATTATAAAAATTTTAAATCAATCAAATTTTTGTTTCTATTTCAAAATAGGAAAGTATGGCTAAAGCTGGTTATTATTATTCACCATTAAAACATAATGATGATCGTGCATTATGTTTTACTTGTACTGTAACACTTGTTTGTTGGGAACCATCTGATTCTCCTTGAACAGAACATGGACGTCATTCTTCTCATTGTCCATTTCTAAAAATGGTGATTTTTGCTGAAAATGTTCCATTACATAAAACATGTTCAATTCAATCTGGAAAGAAAATATTCTCAAATCAACAACAAAAATGATTAATTAAATCTAACGAATTAATGTTAAATGAACATACATTATTATTTATAAATTCTGATTGGATAATACATTCAGTTGACACAACAAAATGTTATACATATAAAAACAATAATATTATTAAAAAAATCTTATTCAACAATTAACAATAGGAAATTATTCCGAAGAAAATTATTCTTTAGATGATAATAATAATAATGAAACAATACTTACACAACATTTTCATCATTTAATATCAAAACGTTATTTTAATTTAAAATTTTTTTCCACTTCCATTAACAATAACAAATGATGATGAAAAATTATATTATTTTTTGTTTTTTACAATTAAATAAAATAAATAAATCTATATTAATAACAACAATATATCAATAATAACAAATAGTACACAATATAATGAATCAATTTGAAACAACAACAATAAATGAACAAATTAAAATAAATAATAAATATGATTATTTAATTAAATTTTAAACATATACCTAAACAATCTTTTTTTTGTATCAATTAACTAAAACAAAATGATTTTATTAATAAATAAAGCTGATTGTATACATAGTGGTTCTATTGAATATGATCAAACAATATTAACATTAAAAATACTTTTTTTTTTATCATTGTATATATCAATCATGAACAAATCATATTGATATTGATTCAATAAATCCAATTATATTAGATGATGATGATGATTTAATAAATAATGATGAACAATCAATAATAAGTGATAAGAATGAAAATTTAGAAATTGAATGTGATGATAATAATGATCTTAATGATGAATATCAAAAAAAAGAACAACATTCAAATAAAATATTAAAACGAATATGTTTTTTTTTAATTTGTTTTAAATCTGGATATTTAATACTTTATGATGCTTATCGTACAACATCTTTAGATAATAATCAAGAAGATATTAATATTGATATTCTAACAAATAGATAATTAATTGAAAATGTTGAAAAATGTGTTCATATTATACGTACAGATATAATTTATGTCTGGATTGGTGATGATGGTTTTAAAAAGGTTTGTAGAAATTTATTTCTTGAATAATTTAATTCCAATACTGTTGCTTTTATATTTACATGAAAAATTTAGTTAGTATCGATTTTGTTATAGAGCAAGTTTAGAGATCTGCATGGAACTATTTACTTCGATTGAAGAATCAGAGTTATTTTATGAAAAGACAAAATAAAAGAAGATTCAATTACTACATATCTTTTTCATTTAAATCAACGCGCCAATGGCAACTCATGTGCGATTTTTGTAATTCGAGTAAAAGAACACAAAACGTTTTGAATCATGATCAATTCTAGTTATGTTATACTCAGGCTGTAACTTCGATATGAATAGCATCTTAATTTGTAGAGAAAAAATTTCTTTTAAAAATATCATAACTAAATCTTCCTTTATCTCAGGAAATATTCAATTCTACAATTGGTATTCAGAAAGTTTCATGCAGATTTCTAGTAGTGAGATCTATGGAGATCATTGTTTTATTCTTTTGTACTTCCTAGGAAAATCCTTTAACTGTAATTTGCTTTTGAGTTGAGACTACGTGCATTATGTAGAAGCAAATGAGCTATGTATATCTTGAAAAAAATTTAGATTCTTAATTTTTCATCAACGACATATGCTAATTTTACAATAGTTTTTAAATCAATGCTGTTGATCTTCTTCAGGAAAGTTCATTTTCGAATGTTCGACTTAAAACTTTCCACAACGACAGTTCTCAACATGAATAATTTCTTGTGAATGTTTTAGTTTTGTTGTTGCTCCTGTCTTAAGATACAATTATGGTAAATGGGTATTTTTTAGATCACTCATGTATAACTATAGATTTGATGTTCTTATTTCAAGATAGAATCAAATAAAAATAAACTGAAATTTTCACAACGAAACATAGTCTTATTAACGCCTCTCTCAAGATTGTTAGTATTATTTAGGGGTAGAGTGTCGACTAAGGATTCTTCAGAAAGTCTGAAACTTTACTCGAAAAGTACTTTCGTGCTTCGAGTACTAGAAGGGATGACCGTCGAAGCAAGAACGAAACTCATGATGACTCGGCTCCTTCCACAGCAGACAATCTGTTATCAAGTCGTTCCTTTTCCTGGACCTGTCTCAATACTGTTTACTTTGTAATGAAATTGTCTACTTATCTTTATTTCACTTTCTCCCAGAGAAAGGCATTAAGCTGTCTCAAGATTTAGTTTCTGTCCAAACGTTCCTATGAAATTGTAAAAAAATTGGCAGAAAGTATTGAGAAGGTAAGATATTTTGGAGGAAAGGAGAAAAGCTCCCTAATCGAGAATGCGATTCTCTCTCAACAAAGTTCCAAGCCAAAATTCGGAAACTAACTCTCCTAATGTTCCCGAGGGCAACTATAGTGTCCATGTAAAAACTACCGTAAATTTGTAGAATCTTTGCATCAATAAGCTGAGAATCCGTACTCTTTCCAAGATATTCTAAACTTACTGTGATTTAGATGATGCACATAGTCTCGAATAGAGCTCGTTGCTCTAAAATTTTCGAACCGAAATTTGATTGAGTCCGAGTTCTGGACCTCACCGACGGGGGGTCTAATCTAGACTCACGAGTGATTAATCAATTGAAAGACTTTCTTCATTAGATTGATTCATGATTTATGATAAGAAAATTATCAACCATCGAAAATCTATAGATTCAAAAAGAAGAATAACCCGAAACGCTAAATATCCATAATAATACTAAACGAAAAATTATTAAATAAGTTAACTTGTATTCAAGAATAACCATGAATAATAAAATGAAAAAAAAATCTTAACTGTTGCTTTTTTCTTTTTCTTTAGTTCAATATTCGTGATCTATTTCCTTCTTATTTTACTCATATGCAATCTGATGAAAGATCAAGCACATCTTCTATAAATCCTGCTCAATTAAAATCTTTCACTGATAATCAAAATTCGAATTCTTATCTAATATCAATTATTCGTTCCCTTCTATCATTTACATCATTTCATTCATCACCCGTAACATATTTTTTTTTGTTCATTTAAATTCATTATATTGGATTGATATACTTAATACAACAAAAACAAATATTGATCGTCATACATGATGTTTACAATAATCTAAAATACATCACTAACAATCAAATAATACCTTCAATACATATATTTGATTTACAAACAGCAACACCATGTATATTACATACAATTGAATTTTTTGTTATATATTAAATCGACACGATTTATACGAAAAGAAAAAATTTATTTGTTACTTTATATCGTTATTCAAATGAACAAAATGATGTTGATCAAAAAATTGAATTTAATCAATTAAATTCTTAAATAAATTTTTCCTATAATGATATAATTGCTGGTCCATATTCATTAATTGATTATTTAGAATCATCAATATATGATCAAGGTCTTATACAATTATGTTCATATGATTTATTAACATATAAATAAAAACATTTTCGACTTGTACTTCATTCAAAATATTCATCATCATCAAATCAAAGAATAATGCAACGAAAATTTATTTCCTATTGAAAGTATATCAATAGCATTACGTTCAACAAAACATCAACTACATTTATATCATTATTCAATAATTATATTAACAACAAATAATGAAGAAAAGAAAAATTTGATTTTTATTTAATTTATTTATACAACATATAATATAATATTAAGGTTTGTTCTAATATATTGAAATTTTGTTCTTAGTTATTACGTTTAAGTTTTAGCTTCTTTGAAATTCTTTGAATTTATATGAGTTTATACTTTATGTAATTATAATAGGCTACCAAAGATACCTGATGAGTCCCTTGAGAAAGGACGAAATGCGTCGTGTCGATCTTGGTTTTCTAAAAACTTTAATTTCTTTTAAATTTTCTTTTAAATTCAATCATTTAGATTATTTGTCAACTGATAATTCCCTTCAGCAAGGATGAAACTAGTCTTGACTGCTGTTCACACTACAGTTATTTGAAATTATCAACATTTATATATGAGTTACTTTAATTCTATATTTATGTCAGATATATTTTTATCTTGTGATTTTTTAAATTTATTTATTTAAATTTTATTTTATCATTTAGATTATTTGTCAACTGATGATTCCCTTCAGCAAGGATGAAACTAGTCTTGACTGCTGTTCACACCCACACCCTTATTAGGAAGAAAAAGCTAGTACAAATTAATCTATGATATTATCGAGAATTGTAGTTCATCAATGGATATCTTTTATGTATTCATTTTTTTAATTTTCATAGGTTAAAANCAAATTAATCTATGATATTATCGAGAATTGTAGTTCATCAATGGATATCTTTTATGTATTCATTTTTTTAATTCTCATAGGTTAAAAGAAACGTCGATATTAGGAATCTGGTTCTTTTTAGTTAAAGGAACTCATGTGGGTGTGTGTTAGTATTGTTTAATTAGATCTATATCTCTCCTTGTTTGCGGAATCGATCAGAATAGATGAATATTCATTTTATAATACTGCAAACTGATACTAGAGCTATATTTTATTGGTCTTATTTTAGAAGATATACGATTAAACTAAAATATATTAATCAACACAATGGTTATTGATGACAGAACAAATGTTCGATATATTTTCT